ACAAGTCAATACCGAAGTCAATATCTCTATGGGCGACATGCCCGGAAGATCTGCTGGAAATACAATTAGGAAGTCTCTCACTACCAGAACTGGCTCAACGGTAGGAGTATCAGCACTGACATCTCTCACGAAGGCTAGATATGCATCACACCCCTTCTCAACCATCCGCAGAGCCTTTAGAAAGGACACAACCCTCCAATGTACCCCTAAACTCTAATCGCGGCAAACCTAGCATAGCCAGTGTCATAGTCTTGGCGTGACAATCCAGAATAGCATGATAGGGCGACAATCAGTCCATGCCCAAGATCACATCAAAGTCTACTATATTGAGTAGTAGCAATATATCAACTCCGGTCACAAAACCACCAATAACAACTAAACATAACTGATACATACGGTCCACAACAATAGAATCTGCCACAAGCGTGGACACATAAAAAAGAGAACTCAAAGAATCACGAGATATCCAATCACGGAGCAATGTAAGATGATACATATGAATAAGTGGATCCCGAATCAAATAAGATTGATGCATCCCTATGACAAACCAGAACCATACCTGTGATAACTATGTCTGATGTGACCGCCTCTGTCGTGCATAGAAAAGCATAGAATCTAGCCTGGCCTCCCTCTCTAGGGCTACCTCTACCCGCCTGAACCCCACCCCTGGCTGGTTGTGCAAGTGGAGTGGCAACTGGAGCAGCAACTATGGCTTGTGAAGTCTGTGGACCATGTGGAATCCGGGGAGCCTGAGTAGTCTGTAGAGGTGCAACCCTCCTAAGTCTGGGGCAATCCCTCACCATATGTCTGGTGGCCGCACTCAAAAAAAGCTCTCGGCGGGTGTGGCTACTGAAACTGACCCTGGCCTGGTCGGCTAATCTGACCACTGAATGCACTCCGTGTAAGAGGTGCACTGATAGTGGCTGAGAAAAATGTGCAATATGAATCCTTGGAATAGCCGGAGTACCACTAGATGGTGGAAGTGCTGAATGAACTGGACAGCTCACATAGCCTCTACCATGATGGGCTATAACTGGGGTGTGGTCAACACTATATCCTCCAGAATCTCGAGGCCTCTTGGCCTCCCTGACCTCTCTCTCACGGCCCTGCATACCCTCTGACCTCCATGCGATTTCTACCACCTGCCGGTACGAAGTATCTATCTCCAACTCCCGAGCCATGCTAAATCAAATACCATAGTTAAGCCCCTTGATGAATTGGTGGACTCACTCTCTGACTATAGAAACCAAGGTAGGTGCATGTCTGGACAACTCACTAAATCTGATGGCATACTCTAACATTGTCATAGTACCCTAATGCAGCTGCTCAAGCTCTACACGTCATACATATTGAAAGGTCTGGGGAACAAAATCTCTCAAGAACGTCTCCGAAAACTGAGTCCATGTGAGTAAAGTTGCATCGGCTGGCTACCCTTCTCGTAAGCCCGCCACCACTGATACGCTGCTCCTGACAGCTGGAATATAGTAAAAGCAACTCTGTTTGTCTCCACGATACCCATGGTCTGGAGAATACAGTGGCACTTTTATAGAAAACATGGAGCATCCTTTGTAGCTAGGCCATTATAAGTAAGAGGATGATGCTTCTTGAACCTCTCAAGTCTAATATGCTCCTCCTCAAATGCCATTGCCCTAACCTCGGGCTGAACTGAAACAACAGGCTGCGCTGGCATAACTTCCAGGACCTAATCAACATAGACCAGCTGCTCTAGGGTACGGGCCACAGGAGTCTGAGCTCCTCCCTAGCCTGAGATGTGGTTGGTGCAAGTGTAATCAACACCGCCTAAGCTAGAGTACCGAACATGCTCATAAACTATGCTAGGGTCTCTGAAGTGCAGGGGTGACAACAAATGTCTCGGGTGCCTATCACCCAACCAGAGCTACCGGTGGCTTCTCAGTCGCTGCTTGGTCAGGTGCTCTAGCTTCATCAAGTTCCCCTCCTCGGCCTTTGCTTCGACCCCGACCTCTCGAGGCTCTAGTAGGGGGCGTGGGTGTGTGATCATCGGATCCAGCGGTGCGTGTCCTCCCTATCTTTGAGAGAATAGAAAGTCAAAGATTCAGATTTCTAAGTCAACCAATTCGCACGATAAGGAATCAAAGAAGAGTAATTTTCCTAACAATTCTGTAGCCTCTCGAAGATAAGTACGGACGTCTTCGTACAGACCTGCAAGACTCTACTAAACCTGCTTATGACGCATAACATCAATGGACCTAAAGATCTGATATCAACTTGTCACAACCCCAATTTCCCACCTTAGGATGTCGTGATGGCACCTAGACTCTAAGACTAGGTAAGCCTAATATGTGTTGAGAAATAGAAGAAATAATAATAAAACTTCAAACTAGACTATGTAAACTATAATAATAGATCTCAATAGTACAGCGGCAATAACTCCAGAAACCTTGTGGAACAGAGTCATAAGCTCGACAAGAATGTACTACTAGTCTCCTAATACAATACTGTTTTGGAAAAAGAAGTAAACAGTATAATGTCTAAAAACAGAGGGTGACTCCGAGGCCTGCGGATGTCGAGCAAGTATACCTTGAAGTCTCCAAAAGCAGCTACTCAACAATCTCTAGCATCCAGCACGGGCAAACTACCTGGATCTGCACAAAAATATGCAGAAGCGTAGTATGAGTACAACACAATGGTACCCAGTGAGTAATAGGCCTAACCTCGGTAGAGTAGTGATGAGGCTAGGTCGGGACACCTACTAGGACATGATAAACGAAACACAAATATAACAACAGAAAGTAATGACAGACGAATGATAACAAAACAGTTTAAATGTAAACTAATGACAGGATTGTAAGCAGAAAGACAACAAGAAAGAAACCATTAATGAGAACCTTAAATAATCAAAGACGGACAAAACTGGTAAGACAAGGAAGAATAAAAGCAACAAGAATGTTTCAACCAATAACTCTTTTAAATATGAAGTGCACAACAAGAATCACAACAGAAGTACCGCCTCGTATTCACATTTCACAATTCAATCACAAATTTTTCTTATATCACCACGTGAGCGTTACATTTAATTTTGAAAATCATTTTTCCTGAAGTAGCTACAAGCGTTTTAGCCCATTTTCTCTCACCGCATGCGTATCAATCCCTAGCCTTATACCACCACATGTGTATCAATATTGCAACACAATCACAACTCGCACCACAAGTGCCCAAATGCCATAACTTATCACAAAGTCAATAATACCAATGTTTCCACAATAAATAGCCCATGGCTCAACCACAATGTGTACAAGAATCTCAATTATAACAAAAGAATGTGAATTGCTCAACAAGAAGTATATATCAACAATTTAATTTTACCTCAATGTGATAACGGTTTTTAAAACTTCAAAACCAATACTCAACAAGAAGATATTCCACAAAATAACAACTTCAAGTAAAAGTAATTCAGCAACTTAAGAGGTAACAAGACGATAAGGAAGGCAATAACTTCAACTAAAGCATATAAGAGCAAGATAACAAGTAAGAGGTAGGACAAGTGTTAACAATGCCAAATAAAGCATGTAAGGGTAGATCAACACAAGTAAGAGTAGATTAACAATGAGGGATATAACATGTTATGATAATTCAATTGAAGGCATGGAAAGAGTTTAAATAACCAAAAAGGTCAATCACCACATATAGCCCGTGTACCCACTCATCACCTTGCGTACACAGCTTTCACGTAACACTATTAGTAGAAACAACCCTATTCCTAAGGGGAAGTTCCCCAACACAAAGATAGGCAAGATATTTACCTCAACAAGGCCAACTCAACCCTCAAAAATAGTTTTTCCCCTAAAGTTCGCCTCCACGCGGCTCAAAATCTAACCAAAAGTGTCGTGATTCACATAAATTTAATGTTAAATCTAAGATATAATCATGAAATATAGTTGGAAATTGACTAGAATCACTTACCCAATATTGGTAGATGACAATCCCCTCTCCAAATCTCCTTACTCTTCTTTTTTCTCCTTTCCCTTTTTCTTCATTATTCTTTATCTCTCTTATTTCTAAATTAAATTCACAACATCACTATAGTCATGATTAGACCATAACCAAAACAAAACAAAAAATGTAATTTCAGAAAAACATAACAGAAATCCATAATTTTGAAAGTGGAGGTCGCCCGATATTATTGCAATTTTGCCCTTTTTTTTTGCTGCTATTTTGACAGAGACGAATTCGATGATAGAACAACGACAAAGCTCAAGCTTTCTTCCAACCACCGGTGGTTGAGGCATATTGGGACGGAAATAGTGGGTGGAGATTAGCAAATGAAAGAAAAGATTATTGAAGGGGAAGATGAAGGGAAAAAGAAACAGAGAAAGGTTGGGGGGGGGGGGGGGAGAAATTAGGATGAGAAATGAAAAAAATTGGGTGGGAGTTTTGCTGGGAAGTCGAGAGAGTTGGAAGGGGAGGGGAAAAGAGAAGGGGAAAGGGAAAAGTCTTTTTTTCTCTTTTTCATTTTTCTTTCTTATTTATATTTTATTCTAACTCTAATTTTTTTAAGTAAAAACAATACTATCCACGCACCCTGGAAGCGTGATTTGCACACAGCTTAGCCATGTCAGATACACTGCTTCCACATAGGCATGGTCAACAATCAAAAGTGTATTAGTACCCATTTTGTCAAGTTAAAGTGTTCAAATGAAAAAAATATAACTTTATGTATCGGCATTACAAACTGATACAAGTGGCCACAAGGCCATTTGGCCTTTTTCTTTCAACATGTATGGAAAACTGGTAATTTTACAATGTGTTTAAATCAAGAATGCAATTAATCAAAAAAACTATAGTTTGAATGTACCCAAAATAAGAAGAGAACTTTTGTGGCTAATTTTAGTCCTATCCTGAGGTAAGATGGCAGCATGTCTATTAGGGTTTAGGATTATATGATAGGAGTCTCAAGGACGGCCTAGCAAGAATACTCTGCCTACCAAAATATTTGTTACTCTTCTTTTTTTCTTTCAGAATGTCCTAAATTCTAAGTAGATGATTTCATTCCATAGCTACCCGTCAATTACAGATACATGGAAATAACCCTGGAAATGTAGAAAGAATGACATAGAGACATTCATGGGGAGTAATTCTCAAAATTTGACTGCATTCCATGAGAACCTCCATGTGCAGTCCATTGACCATACAGCATAGTCAAGATGAAATTTTTGAAAACTTACTCGCGAGCAGTTTGGACTCCTATAAGCGTCCAAACAATAATAACATGTACTAAAGGAAAAATTATTTGCTCAAAGTTACTGCTTCGAAAAATCGTATATGGAGTCCTCTCCTACGTTCTTAAAGCTCCAATTGCGCTGGTTACTCGCTGTATTGGCAGTAGATATATGTAAGACCTTTTTATGGTATTTGTAAAGGGTGCTACGATGGCCAATACTTATGTACGTGATTCCTGCAGCTTGGATTAGCTGATATAGACGAGCCTGCATACACAAAGTACAACAAAGGCTTTATTTGAACGCAAACAGAAGGAAGTAAGAAATAATAAATGGAATTACGGTAGCACTACCCAAGGTTTTACAAGGAGGGATGACGACAAATGTTCATATGGTAAAAAGTTGACATTTCATATGTAATTGTAGAAGATCAATTTTTTTTCCAAATGTAGACTATTTGAAAGCAAAGTACAACAAAGGTTTTATTTGGAAGCAAATGGAAGCAAGTAAGAAATAATAAATGGAATAGAAATAACAAACCATTGTAGCATCACCAAAGGTTTTACGAGAGACTGCGACAAATGTTCATATGGGTAAAAGTTGAGATTTCATTAGTAATTGTAGAAGATCAAATGATCTCCATATGTAGACTGTTACATGTGACTGACTGACATTGAAGAGCATTTTGAACCTCAGATTGCTTCAAAGTTCAAAAAGTAAAACTTGTAAGCTTAAAGAACCGAGTTCTTCTTATATATAAGATCGTGATTGGATCCGCATATGCAGTATTTTTAAGGGCGAGAAGATGTGGAGTGTTTTACCTATTATGGGGAGATGGAATATCAAGGAGCGGAAGATAAGCCCTAAGCACGGAGTGTATGCTCACAAATTATTATTTTTTATGTATAAAGAAACAAAATTAAATATAATAAATAGCAAAAGTATAATATAGATTAACTTATATAAAATTCAAAAATATAAGCAACTTAATTTAGATATCTCAGCATAATAACATTCATACATAACAACATATTAGGAGGGTGTTTGGATTGTCTTAAAAGCTGGTCAAACTAGCTTTTAAGCTCTTTTTAACTTATTTGGGTGTTTGGTAAAGTAAAAAAAGTGCTTAAAAAGAACTTGACTTTTAAGCCAAAAGGTCCAAAACAAGCCAAAAGCAATAAGTTGGACTACCCCAACTTATTGCTTTTTGGCTTAAAAGCTAATTTACTTTGACCAATAATTTTACCTTTTTATCCCTTATAATATTTCTTAATTCCAACAATACCCCTTACTAACAAAATCCCTAGACTCGTCGTCTTCTTTTCTTCCTCTCTGCTACTCCTATTTGGTTTCCTCTCTTCTTTCCTCTTCCTTTCTTCAATCTCTACATCACTTCTTCTGTCTTTTTTTTTTTTTTTTTTTTTTTTTTTTTTTGATTGAGATTTTGTGGCATTACTTTCTTCTCGTGATTTGAACTCTCTGAAGTATCAAGAGTTGCTGAATAATTCAAGAAATTGAAATGGGTATTATGTAGAAGCTTGTATGCATAATTAAGCTCAGTAAGTAAATAGATGACCCACCTTTAGCAAAAAAAATTCTAATGAATGTAGATTCTCTCATTTCTGGAAATGAAACATTTTGGAAAGCCACCAGTTAGTGCACTATTGTGCATATGAAATATTGGTTAGCATTAATACATATACATACTAATAGCAGAAAGCACGTAATGGTTTGAGCAACTTTGTTTATAAATTAGTTTGATTTTTAAAACCAAATAACAGCTAGAACATAACCACTTCAAATAAATAATTTATATTTATTGGTAAAATGACTTTCTTGCAATCATCGTAGAACTGAATGTGAATTGAATATAGTGTAATTTATTTGTATATGAGTAAATTCGAATTAGAAATCTTGAATAATCAGTTCCTCTATAGTAACTAACAGTTTTAAGGATATTTTAGTCATTTTAATAGAAAAAACTGCTTTTCAGCTACTTTTTTACCAGACACCTCAATAACTTTTTTTCCAGCTCCAGCACTTCTATCCAAACACTAACTGCTTATCTATAAAACAAGCTCCAGCATTAAAGCTACTTAAATTCAGCCAATCCAAACGGGCTCTAGGTCACTACTTTACTCATTATAGAGAATTATATTCCCTTTATAAGGTAAATACAAATTTATTTTGTTAGAGTCAAATATAATTTTTTTTAACAGAAGGTGCAAGAATCAGACTCGCCAAGGAGCAAGGCCTGGCAATAGCCCCATTAGACTTTTCGTTCTCGGGTAGTTAAAGCTTGCCTCACATCGAGGAAAGCCCTGAAGCGAGTTGATTTTTGCTTTTCAGTACATGGGAACAAGGGCCTTTAGTTTTTGTGACTTGTTAACCTCCGCTGACAAGCAAGATCTATTGGTAATATGAATCCAGCCCCTATGGACCAGAGGCCTATACTCAAGAAAATTGAACTGAGCTACTCTGAAGTCTGACTGGATGCAATCCACATGAACAAATGAATCACAAAATAAGACAAAGGCATCTGTAAATCGTTAAAGTACCTCATTGGCTTCATCAAGAGCACTTGTGGATTCATCTAACAGAGCCAAAGTTGGTTTTGCAAGCAACAAACGGGCAAAGGCAAGGCGTTGTTGCTCCCCAAGGGAAAGAACGCTCGACCACTCATATGTTGAATCTAGGCCGTCAAAACGAGATAACAAGTGTCTAAGGGATACGTCATTGAGAACTTGTATCAGATCATCTGATGTAGGCCGATTTGGCCTTACATTTACACACCTTGCATCTCCTGCATGTGCTAGTTGGAGAAAATTTCAGCACACAATCTGTAAATAGAATTCTTCCAACAGCTAAAATGACATGGAGGCGACACAGAGAAAATTTACGTGCAAGTTGGGAAATTAAGCAGTTCACATGGTATAAGCGCCAAAAGAAGTAATGTAAAGCAAAACTAAGCAGCAAGTGCCTACAGAGACGAGCCATATGGGGGATGACAACATGTAACAAGAACTGAGAACCTATACGGCTTGATAACGGCATAAGAAACTGATGTTGCGATGTACCAAGGATGTGGCCTAGTGGTCAATGAAGTGGGTTAAAACCCATAAGGTCTCAGGTTCAAATCCCAAAGGAGGCGAAAACACTAGGTGATTTCTTTTCATCTGTCCAAGCCTTGGTGGACAGAGTTATCTAGTACCTGTGATGGGGGGAGAAAGCAGATACCCCGTGGAATTAGTCGAGGTGCGCGCAAGCTGGTCCGGACACCACTATTTTCAAATAAAAAAAATTGAAAATTGATTTTAAGCTATGGATCATGAGATGACATACCACTTTGTTTAGCATCATCTACCACGTTATCTGAATCTTCAGTCCATGTAGGATACAACAATTGTTGTCGGAGGGTTCCCAAAACCATATACGGTTTTTGAGGAAGAAAAATTACACCTTCAGAATTTCTACGTCCTGTGGAATCCCCAATTATCTCATTAATTGAAGTTACTTGACTAGAAATCACATCTGGAGAGTGAGGCATATCCAATTCTCCTCTAGGTCTGACATAGATTGTAATTGCTCCACTCCCAAAATTCCAAAGACCAGCTACAGCTCTCAGCAATGAAGTTTTACCACTTCCACTTGGTCCTGTAACCTGTTACAAAGCAATAAGTAACACCATTTAAAAGTCAAATTGGGACTCTAGGGGTGAGGCAGCCTATAAACACCCCACTATCAAGGGGGCCTAATGCCTGTAAATTGGAGTATTCGTCCGGTGCACGTTTTACACCTTGAACTACTTGGTCAATACGCCCCAAGGACAACTATGCACACTTTATACCTTAGATTGTCCGCTTTTTGCCGCAGAACATTCCGTATCAAATCTTCTCCCATGTACTTGACTAAAACTTGTATAATATATTGTTCTATAATTAAGAAGTTGGTGACTTTAAATATTATAATGTGCATGTATCATATGACTAGTTCGTTAGATTGATTCTTTACCTTTGTGTTTGGATACTTCATAATTTTTTAAAGTATTTTCTGCAGTAACTTTGTGTTTTAAGCGTATAAAAATTAAGTTCTTGCTCACCAAATCCCTCTCAGGTGCAGATGAATATTTAGCCTGGGACAAGGGCTTATGATCCTTCTTCTTTACCCTCCTTTTAACACATGAATTACCAGTAATAATACAATTCCTCCTTTCCCTAATCAGATCAACAAATAACATAAAAGACTCACCAGCAAGTGATCCTTTTCATAAATCTCAAAAGACAAGTCCTTAATAAGAGTTGCTTTACTTGGTGTCTGTACAGTCAACTGTTCAACATCAAGTAATTTTACACGGCTGGAAAGCGGCATAGATCCATTTGACTGTAGCCCATTGGAACAGCTTATTAAGCAAAAACTAAGTTGGATTTCTTCCTTTAAGTCATGATCACCTTTTTTTCTGTTGCTGCTATCCAAAACGTCATCAAATTCACCTGCAAATCCTTAAGGTGTCAGAATGATTTGCTGACAAGCTTACTACTGTTTTGGAGCGGTTGGATTTCATGTTGGATGGAAATAGCAAAACTGGGAAACTAAAAAAGCAACAAAGTAGAAGAAAAAACAATTTAGGGAAGAAAATAATTGAAAAGCCATAGAAGTTACAACATAATATGAGACGAAAGAAGAGATCAGTTTTAACATCCGCTCTCAAGCATCTATAGTGCAACCAGCTATAGTTTATGTATATAATAACTACTAAAGGCCTTATGAGCTGAGCTTCTTTTGTTTAAGCATTTAGTTTTCATTTGCATATTACCTTTATACTACATCATAACTATGCTATGTGCTATCCCAGTAATGGTTCAATTTTTTCCTCATTGGATTCAACCATAAAGTTTGATTTAGTACTAGTCACTTTCCTTAGCACTACTCCTAGATTCTTAATATAAAAATTTCCCAAAAGTAGTTCTAATTTTTTAATTTAAAGCATATTAACATTTGGTCGCCGGAATCTCATCATTTTGCATTTCCAAAAATGAAGAAATCCACTTTTTCTTTAGTTCGAAGCAAGCTGGCAACGTCAATGTTCTGTACCTTCTTCCTAAATGTATAGATATTATAATAAAAAATCAGAGATCAATGGTTTCAACAATATAATATATGTCCGTTACAAAATAATAGAAAATAAAAAAAAACTTGAAGAGCATGATTTGAATACATTGATTTGTTCTAATTGAAATATTATATTTGAGAAGAATCAATCATGATATTGCAATGCATTTAAACGAAAAAGATGAAGGTCTTTTGGTAACTTTAATGTATAAAAATACTTTATCGCTTAAAACAGAAGGGAAGAAATTAATGACAGATGCTTGAGAAAACAAGACAAAATTGGAGTAGAAAAGAAACTTGGCTATAGTTCCAGCTTGCATTTTTGGGCTTTTGTGGCTTGAGAGAAATTAGGGATGTTTTGAGATTAAAGATGTACCTATTCACACTTGTAGATACAAGTGTCAACAGTTTTTGGTTTTATGGTGAAAATGATAGATGTATATGAAGTTGACACTATTACAATTCCTCAGCTCCCTGCAGTTATAATGGGAACCTGAGCTTTTGCATGTAAATACTTAACACCTTCTTGGTGCTGCTTCATCTTACTTACGAAAAGAAAAACAAAGTACGGATCAAGAAACAACTATGGGATTATCTTGGGGAAACAAGATGTTTATAATATATAATGGAAGGGGTTTTGTATAATGGAGTCCTTGCCCAAGCAGGAGTTGAAAAATATAAAAAGAATTGTAACCAACCAGCTTTTAACCCTTATAACACAAACCATAACCAACCAGCTTTTACACTTATAACCCAAAGCGACCCTAATAACACAAACCATAACCAACCAGCTTTAACCCTTATAACCCAAAGCGTTATGGTTCTACCCAGTACAGAGAGGTTCAAGCCTTATCAACACACAAAAAAATGACGACACCTCAATCCAGAGAAAAGAAGTTAGGATCAGCTATATGAATCATCAATATCCATTCCCTTCGTTTTAGGCCCATCTCATTTCAACCCTTATTATATCTCCTACCCAACACAAGGGAAGTGAGCAGGTCAAGATAAATGTTACATTTCGACAGTCTCAGGTAGGTTGTATAGTAACTGTGGATGACAAGAAAAAGAAAAAAGAAAGCATCCCTTATGAGAAACTCATGTTTTTCAAGTAACCTATCACATATCCGGCATCTATAAGAAGCATAAAAGTAGTGCAATTCCAAAGGTCAGAGTCTTGATTTAAAAAAAGATCCCTTTTGGCACTAGGGTTATGAAACAAAAATCTAGGCAAAATTAGGGGCTTGAGATGCGAATTGGGTTGGTCAGATATTGCTACATTTCACTCTAGATCAAAGCACCTGCTTGGAAACTACAAAGATAAGCAACATGCACAAAATTAGCTATGTAGCATATAAAACCATGTGTAATCAAACAAATTCATGTCACATCAGCCAAGAAAAAGACAAGATCCTGCACATTGTCAGATATCATGTATATTCCCTCCCTTTGGGGCATCTCTCCAACAAAATAGATTGAAGATGCTCCTTCTATGGGATTACAAAGTAATATCAATATATTCTGTAAGGCTTTCCATTTACTGGAGAAGAATGCGCCAGCCAGAAACAAAATAACTTACCTAGTCGGTCAATGACGGCTGAAAAGGCACTTATAGCCTGAAACTGATAGACAATGAGGGAAAAATCACCAAGAATATGATTAAAAGCAGAGGCGGATTGATTAACAACCCCAAACTCAATTTTTCCAGAGAAGTACATAGGTGCAACAACTGCGGCAGGAAGAATTTGAATAAGATAGCGGTAGCCACTGGTGAAGAACTCCAGATTTCTAGAAGATATCAGCAATTGCTGCCAATTACCAAAGGCAGGAGAATCAATTCTAATATTCGCTTATAAAATAAATATAATAAAATTAAATAGCATACAACACTAAACATTTTCAAAATGCATCAACACATACAAAAGAAAGTCAAACATTTAACGAATGCTAAGATGAGGTATATGAGGTTAGTTTTATGCACTGCTTCTGATTAATCAGAGATGATGAGATTGCAAATCCCATACGAAGACACAACTCAGAGAGATCACTTCCTTGCCCCCGACATAACACATATCCTTTAAAAGATTTTAAACTACCCCTGGAAATATGATCTACTTAGTAATAAAACCTAGCTGGCAAAAGCACTAGGTTTTTAAGGGTCAGTATGGTGCAGTGTTATCAAAGGCGAAAAGCGCAAAAAAGCTCTAAGATCCGTTGGGGCTTTAAGCGCAAAGCGCAAATAAAGCGTGGGCTTTAATGAAAAAAGGCGCAATGGGAGAAAAAGTAAAAATATGCATGTAGTCCAAGACTAATCATTATAAGCATGAATAACAAATATACGGACAAAGAAATTGAAAAAAAAAAATCACGATAAAGTGAAATATCAATTATTTAAGGTCGCCTTTTCAGGATTACACTCATTGGCAAGGAAAAGTATGCCTTCGAGCTTTGATGCGGCACTAAAGCGCCCACAAAGCGAGGCGAAGCGCTCAACGTGTTTTGAGCCTCGCTTCAGGGCTTAAGCGCGCCTTTGACAACACTGGTATGGTGACAAAAACATCAGAATGCATTCTTTTGCTGAAGAAACACTTGGAAACATCTGTGCGCCCCAATAGAGCAGAATGATTACAGAGATTCATACAACTGATCCCAACTAGTTTGGGATTGAGGTATAGTTGATAGATGTATTACTACTGAGATCACCGGATGCTGGGTGGGAACTTCCTGTGAAAAGTCTCGGGTTTTACAAGAAATTTGGATGTTCTCCCAAATTTTCATCTTCAGCAAAATGGGGGACAATCAATGGCACTTACTCCAGACAAGGTTACACATAGTTAGACAAGCTGAGATTAAACCTAACTTCTTCACCTAATATTGGCTACCAGATTGAACTCATTATTAAGTGTGTGACAATGAAACAATTCTTTGCAACAGAAGTAATATAGAAACAACTGTTGAATCACAAATTTGAGTATATATGCTTCAATGCAGGTAAAAACTAAGACAGTTGAAGTACCAAACAAACACAAAGGCCTCCATACATTTAGGTTTTCAAAAGCGCTTTTGAAACGACTTAATAGTAGTTGCATCTCATTCTCCTCGCCTCCATAAAATGCAATTGATTCAGCATTTTCTCGAACACGCACAAGCCCATAGCGGAAATCCGCTTCTTTCTTCTCTTGCAAAAAGTTGAGGCCCACCAATCCCTAAATTAATCAGAGTTCCCATTATTTGGAGTAAAATTGGTAGACATGTCTTGTAACTTAGCAATTCTCTAAATGTTCTATCGTACAGAGATTCAAAAGAAAATATGAAAGTGAGAAAGTTACCCTTCCAAGGAAGATGCTGATAGCCGTTCCACCAAGTGAATATGCAAGAAGCACAATAAACAGTGGCGGATAGATACCGTACAAGATATTGCTGAAAGATATTAAGTCTATGGCAGCATTGAAGAGGGTCAATGAAAATGAGAGAGCTGTTCCAGTAAAGGAACTTAAATCGTCAACGATTCGCTGATCTGGATTATCGATGGTAGACTGAGACTGAATTTTGTAAAACGTCTTATTCTTCAGATAACGTTCCATGTAATAGCTTGTCATCCAAGATCTCCACCTTAAAGCTAACTTCTCTCGCGCATAATCTCTCAACACAAAGATCTGCAAAATACATAAAGCTCAAAGCTACGAAATGTACTTTTCCTTACCTTTCTCGCTGCTAATAAATGAGGATAATAGAAAAGAAATTCAGAAATGACAAATATTGGTAGTAGAGAAGTAGAGGTTAGAAGACCTCATTTCCGTTTTACTATAAAAAATAAATGCATACATATTTTTAGAAGGGAGTAGTCCTTCTAGATGAAGTCTCAAGGTGCTAAAGACATGATACTCTTTAATCTATATTGTCACCAATGTGCCAGGGGCGGATCTACAGTTGAAGTTACGGGTTCGGGCCCAGACCTTGTATTTGTGTTAAGAGACCCACTTAATATGTATAAATAATCTACCCAGAACTCAATAAACAACACAGGTTGTGGGTTCAGAACCCGTAAACTTAAAAATCCTGAATCCGCGCCCTTATCAGTGAAATAGCATGCCAAGTACCCATTCTAGGATGCACAATATCTGCATAATTTGAAGGGGAAAAAAGACTATTCGGAGCTATACCTAAAAAATATGGAGCAATGAGCTCACCGGAATACCACCAGCAAAAGCAGCAAGGTAGTATAACAGTTGTTTGGTGAACTGTTCTTGGTCTTTGTCTTTGCAAAATCAAACAAAACATGCAGAAATTAATTAGTGCAGTCAAAATTCTTTAAGAAAAAAAAAACAATCTGGAGAGAGAAAAAACATACTGGCTAGTGCATTATAAAAGTCACGGCCGAGGAAATTGAAACCAACGCTGATACCGGTGGTCCCTAAAGTAAGTGCAAAGACAGCAGCTAATTGCAGTCTGGCTTGGACTTTATCATCGGATGACCAATATGGAACAGCAATCTTCCAGAACCTTCCAGTAAGTGTTTGAAGATCCGGTGGCTTTCTTTGCTCATCCTGATTAAATAGATATATACATTTAAGTTTGAGGTTGGGGATTGGGGATAGTTTTGGATTTAAAAAAAAAAAAAGATGGACCTGATTGGTTGGGCCGGGAGGAGTTGTTTCTGCTTCTGCTGCTAATGAAAGGCGTCGTCGAGTGGTAAATGAATGAAATTTTAAGGATGAACGATGGCCGAACTTCAAACTGCTCTCCAAAGTGCTAACAGTAATACCGCAGGAGAAATGAGGTTCTACTACTAGTTTTGCTTGGGTGACCATGGTGAAGGAGAAGGAGCTTTCTTCTTCCTATTTCTCAAACGCGCAGATTCATTCGGCTTCTTATCCCAAAGAGGTTTGATTTGCGCGGTCCATATGAAATTGGCAACTCTAGTGATGCCACGCCCACGCCTGGTGCCACTTTCACTTTCCCTCTTTTCGTCACGGAACAAAAAATGTACTGCCCATTTAGTCCTCCATTGATTCGACGTGTTGTAGTGATTTTCTCCCAAATTTCAAATTATTCAAGTTACTTGATAAGGTAATAAAATTATCATTAACAAGTATACTTTTTCATGCTTCGCGCGGTTGTAAAATTTTTAGATTTACTTAATATTAATATTATAATTTAAAACTTGTTTTTTTTTAAGCATCCCCTTTGTGATTCTTGTAATATTCTATGTGATATCCTTTGACAGAACAACATATCTGAGAAACATTCAATATTAAATATAAAACATAACATTTAATATGTATATTTAAACTTAAATAAGAAAATGATAGAAAATAAAAAAAATTATGAAAATTTGAAAAAGAAAGTAATGTAAAATTATGGGCAATGTAAACCTAGGATGTCACCCACTTTTTCCTAATCATCTTGTAACGACCCGACCGGTCGTTTTGAGCTTTAGCGTTCCGCTCAGTGGTTTAAGGTCTCGAGTACCTTCGTATTATGCATTATGACTTGTGTATATGATCGGTATCGGTTTTCGAGCGATCCGGGATAGATTTGGAAGAATGATTCTTGTTTTAGAAGCTTAATGGAAAAAGTTGACCGGAGTTTGACTTCTCTGTAGACGACTCCGGAATGGTGTTTTGATGATTCTAATAGCTTCCTATAGTAATTTTGGACTTAGGCGAACATCCGGATTTGAATTTGGAGGTTCGTCGCTTGATTTGATACTTTTTGGCGAAAGTTAAAGATTTGTAAGGTTGGGAGGTTTAATCGGGAGTTGACTTTATCGATATCGATTTCGAATTGTGGTTTCGGGAGTTGGTGTAGTTCTGTTGTGTCATTTGGGACTTGCATGCAAAATTTGAGGTCATTCTGAGTTGATTTGACATAGTTCGACGAGAGTTTTAGAAGTTGAAAGTTCATTAGTAGGCTTGAATTGAGGTGTGATTCGTAGTTTTGTTGTTGTTTGGTGTGATTTGAGTTCTCGAGTAGGTCCGTGTTATGTTTTGGAACTGATTGGTGTAATTGAACGGAGTCCCAGGGGCCTCGAGTGTATTTCGGATGGGCTACGGGCCGTTTCCTCATGTTTTGAACTGCTAATTCTAATATTTGATTTTCTTCATCGCGATCGCCACTAAGGAGTTGCGTTCGCGTAGTGTATCTAGGTGGCTGGCAGCTTGGCTACCTGATTCATCGCATTCGCGCCCATGCTATTGCATTCACAAAGTTCATTTTTTGGGGGCAATGTTGTTTCTTCTTTGCGATCGCGATGTAATTTCCGCTATCACGATGTGTTTCACTAGGCAGAATGTATAAAGTACTCTATTTCGGGAGTTTTAGTTATTTTATCACTTGTTGAGTCAGAGAGCTCGATTTTGGTTGACATTGAAGGGATTTTTCACGATTTGGATGGGGTAAGTATTCTTGACCCGGGTTTGATTATATTTCATGATTCCATCCTTATTTATTGTATTTAGTTGATGATTTGAATTAGAGAAATTGAGAATTTTAGTAAAAACTTTTCTAAAACATAAATTGATGATTTGAAGGCCGATTTGAGGTCGGAATTGGATGATTTTGGTGCGATTGGACCTGTATCGGAATGGGTGTCTGAATTTTGTGAGTTTTGTCGGGTTCTGAGGTGCAAGTCCGGGGTTGACTTATTGGGGTAACTTTTTAATTCTTGTTCAAGATCGAAGCTTTATTATCGAAAATTATTTCCTATGGCTTTTATTTATGATATTGAGTTATTTTGGCTAGATTCGAGCCGTCCGGAGGTTGTTTCACGCGAGAAGGACTTCTTAGAGTATTGATTTAGTTTCTTTGAGGTAAGTATCTTACCTAACTTTGTATGGGGTAAACTACCCCGTTGGATTTGGTCTAATTGCACTATTTGGATTATGTGGAAGACATGTACATGAAGTGACGAGTGTGTACACGGCCTTATATGTGAAAATTGACCGTTTTAGACTCTTAGGATTCTTATATGCTTTAATTGAATTTGTCAGTACATGTTCTATCTTCCATTGTCAAGTTTATTCTTATGCTTTAATTGAAGTTGTTATTACATGTTCTATATTTTATTATCGAGTTTATTCTTATATGTACTTAATTGAGGTTGTTATTACTTGCCATGCCTTTCATTGTTGAGTTTATTCTTAAGCAATTAATTGAAGCCGAAGTTATTAAGAGCCATTAACCTATTTTAGTTGAAGTTGTTGTTTAATGGAGTATCTTTCATTGTTGAGTTATTTTTCCGTTTCGTTTTGTTATTATTGAGATTTATGTACGCATTGTGGTTGAGCCGTGGGCTATTTGTTGTGGCGATATTGGGATTGTTAATTTGGAAATGTTGTGGCCTATGGGCACGTGTGGTACTGTCGCGCCCCCTTTTCTCGTGAAATCGGGTTTCGACATTTCTAGGACAACTCCTTTCCGAGAGGGTAAGGAACTGGATTTGAAAGAGTCGCCACCTAACGGATTAAGGTGCGTTAGGACACCTAGAGCAGATAACTCATATAACCAGTTTACATCACCAAAGATCGGGTAGGGGCTCGAAATTACCTTGAGGGGAAGGTGTTACGCACCCCTCGAGGTCCACAACGGTGGGTCCCGGCCGAACTTAAATTAAGCGACTTAGTCTAAAAAAGGAGAGAGGACGATTTGGACAAATACAATATCTAATTTATTTTAAGCAGGGTATAAGGGGTGGCCCTAAGTTTTTTAGCCTATAGGATCATTCCATGCAATACTTTGTAACTCCCTCAAGTCGAGGTGTTACTTATAGCATTAGCGCACGGGCTATCATTTCCTTACTACCCAATTACAATCTTTGAGTTGTTACCTAAGCGTTCTAATAGTTTCTAGCTCGTTCCTTATGCGTGCACTACTCGTCCCTTGGCTATGGCCCTGGAGGTATTAGGGCCTCTATTTGGGATAGTTCTAGACCAACCTACATTGCTTAAAATGTGAAATCTAGGCAACAAACAAAAACAAGTAGGACTTTCAAATAAAGAACAAGTATGGGCTCACATTTACCTCCACACATAAACAACAAAAACACGCAATTGAATCAGCAAACTTTGTTAATTTTGGAATCCTATAGGCAGGATATCTACGTGAGAAGAACAGAGTGTAAAGACAATTTTATTAAGGCGAGCATTGGGCCTATTTGTTTACCTACTGATTTTATTCAGCATGGATCTGGGCATTTCAAGCAGTAGTATGTCACAGTTTTAAACCCAGAATCATTAATAAGTCCTACAGATATATTGCCTAAGTGATTGACAATAGCGATGGAATTCAGAATCGATTAACAGAGTCCTATAGGCATGATTTCTACGAGCTTATTAATTACAGACCTATAGGCATGGTTTCTAAGTGTAATACTGATTTTAACTTATAAAGACAATTTTTTATTCCTTTTAGATCCTATAGGCATGTTTTCTAATTGCTGAATTGATTTAAACCCCTATAGGCATGATTTCTAATTGCTGACTTGATTTAAACCCTTATAGGCATGATTTCTAAGTTTCAGAAATGATTTCACCCTATAGGCATGATATCTATTAATTTTAAATCCTATAAGCATGATTTCTAGGTTTGAAACTGATTTTTATTCCTATAGGCATGATATCTATTAATCGTATTTGGACAGAAATTAACAGATTGTCATGAAAGATAATCAACAGAAATCCTATAGACATGGTCATTAATGCACATTGGGTTGAAAATATGTGTAGATCCTATGAACAGGATTTCTAATGCAGAATCAAGCGAAAGGTCCTATTGAGCAGGGTTTCTAGCATGCAAGCACAGAATCAGGAAAATCCTATAGGCAGGATGTCTAAACACAGTCCAGCATTCACGTAATTCAATCAATATAATTAAACTTATAGGCAGGATTTCTACCCAGTTTTAACAAAGGTATTAGTAAACCCCCCTCCCCAGCTTTTACTAATAAACCCCAAATCTGTTACTACCGAGATTATTACAGCCTAGAATGAATGAATTACATAATAGTAACCATTACAATATAGGGAGCCTTCATAGGCCCAATCTAAACCTGGGAACCAGGCCTTCAAACACAACAGCTCTGGAGCATAATAGTGATCCATCCATGGCACATAAAAATTAGGTTTCCAATGTGTCAAAGTTCCCAAAGGCCTTAAGATTCTCACACCAGAACAAATACATTCAGCAAAGAGTTCGTAAAAGAATGGAAGACCAGCCCCTAGTGTGTCAGAGTTCAATAGAGTCTCAAGGACCCTAGGCAGTGCTCACACTGAGGTGGTTGAGAACCTAAGGGACTAAGAGTAGGGATTTCGGAAATCAGTACGTAAAAGGAATAAATGGTAGGTTTTAAAACGGTTCAATTTCAAAAGAAGGAAAGTTCAGAACACAAAGTTGCAAACAAAATTGCTCCAAGAAACAAACAAGGTTCAGGTTCGGCATATAGTTCAAAGAGGTTGAAATCTGATTAAGTTAATACTCATGCTAATACTCAGAACAATCGTGGTTAAACCACAACAACAATTAGGGAGAAGTATTTGAATTAGACACACAACACAGGTGAGTTAAGTAACAAGCTAATTGACTGCGTGTTTATAGTGCAAAGTTCAGAAGATGTAGAAGATTAACATGTAATACATGAAACAAGTTAAACCTTAGGCTAAATCACGAAGGGGATTCATATTATTCAGAATAGCTAAGTCTTAAACTAATAATGCTGCTAGATGAGATCACATAATCACATAAAGAACAGAGTCATGCCAGGAATTGAAACAAATTAATCAAGTAAAGCATAGGGAATAGAATTGCAATGGTTAGGGCATACTAGTTGAGAAGGAAGCAAGCAAAGGTGCAGTAATAGTTAAATTCCAAAGTAATTTGGCCTTGGCTTTTAGCCGGCCAAACAATAGCCACTTAGTGTAGAAATCTGAACAGAAGCAAGAGAGAGAGCTTAAGTTTTTTAGTGAGAATCAGAGAGTTCGAGACTTGTAGAGTTGTTGAGTTGTTCT